TAGGAATAGGCCAGTATGATCAGGCTGATGCATCATTACAACGTGCCGGCGCACAATTCGAAATTCAATGTAAATTTGTTCGCAGCTACCGAAATCACGTCTACCAAACATCCTTCTGGTTCGGCTGAAGTTAAAAGTTCTTTTTTACCGCCTTCAGATAACTAAGCAGCAATGATACTAAGACGCTTTGAACGAGATATTTGGTCACCGGGGATGTCCAAAGTGAAATTGACCGGCTCAGAAAGCAATATTTTATTTGATGGTCAAGTTCCGGAGGCCGGGCTGACCAATCGGTGACAGGTCACAACTAAAGAAATGCAAACGACGAGAATCATTCGGAAAAGCAATGACAGCAATATAGTTGCCAAGAACTTAATGCTTGCGATTTGTGAACCCACATAAAATGCAACCCGAGACATATAATATCCAAGGCTTTTCTATCCGCCAGACAGGCATTCGTTACTAGGACTACATCCTGTTAACACACCTACCCACATGTCGAAAATCACGGTTAATTGTTTAACCGTTTCAAAAATAAACTTCGTCCATCACCTATTTGGTTACCCGACGTAGAGCAGTAGTTTCCTAAATCTGTTAGGCGTATAAACGACGCCGCTCCGAGGACGAGTTTTGACGATCGCATAGCTTGCAAGAGGTGTCCATGCTGGGACTGACAAACGCAAAGGGTTATTTGATTCATCTGATGCAAAAGCTGTGCTGGCAAAGGCAGCATCGTAGTTCTGAATAAAGTCGAAAAACCATGAAAGGAAATGGCCTGATTTTCCAATTTATATAACTAGAGCCGTTCCAACTAGCCAGGAAGCATCACACATTTTCAAGATTTGATTCAGAGCTAGCGCGGTTTGCTGCTGATGAGCTTTCGAGCGTTCTCATCGTTAGCTTACCAAGTAAATGGACGATTATCAAGTTCTCAGAACTAAGTATTTAGCTCCGAAGCAAAGTGATGTAGTTTGGACGCATTACCGTTCTCTGTTCTGGCACTTATTTCACCCGAAATAGCAGCAGCACCAGCAGTGAATGGGTCGCGACTTTTCTCCTACAATCTTTTACTGCTTCGACATTCAGCGAGAGTAGGCAAGAACTGCAGCACTGTATATTGACGAAAAGTCCCCCGGCATGTCCCCCAGACAATACTACCTACTGCTTCATCAATGAAGTTACTTGAGCTATTTTGTAATCAACAGCGACAGCAAATTCAATTTAATTAATGTTATCACGGCCGTTCCGTAACGTCCTTCACGTATGGTAGCGCTCACGAAAATTTGGGGTTGGTGCAGTTTGGTCTCTGCTGCACCATTCCCAAATTTTAGTAAGTGCTACTGCGCATGAAGAGCGCATGAAAAGCCATTGACCGCTTTCTCGAAGTGGAGTTGCAACTATCCGGCGCCAAGTAATGAGGCCAAAAAATCCGATGCCACAGTGGGAAACGTCTAGGGTCGTTTACCGAATCTGCCGCAACTACGGACACAGCAACTACGTCGGAGAAACTGGCCGAATATGCGGCAGCAATGAGGAGGAATGACGCAAACTCTCAGGTCGCGTCGGGTCATGCAATGGGCCCGGCCCCAAACCTTTTAGTTTAAGGAGGCCGAAGGGCTTGACTACTGGTTCTCCAGCTCGCAGTGGATCAAGATCTAGGACGACCTCACCGCAGCACATTTCGGGCCGAGACATTTCCTTGGTAGAGCGCGGGAAGGATGTGGACGGCTAAAGCGTCCAGTGACAGCGAGCCAAACGGCCACAACCCCAGAAGCGAAAATGGTGATGAAATGTCGATAATTAACTATTCGGACGCAGACTAAGGGGCAGTCATCTTCATGCGAGGAAGACGAGATTAGGCACGTGATGGCGTGACAACGCAGTCCTATAAATACTGAGCCCCTGAAGCCATCAGCACCCTTATCTGCGGCTATCCATGATGATGATGAGTTCGAGCGAGAATCCGAAACGTCAGGCCAATAAAAATGATGTTTAAGCAATCGCATTATTTTCGTAGTTAAAGTTATTATGACCGTTTCGTTATTTAAGTCCCTGGACGGAAGCTAAGAGCAGAGGAGCATGTATAGGGAAGAATTTTAAATCCTAATATACCAAGAAAGAAGATAGGACTGAATTAAGTGTCCGATTGGAGAGCTGAATGGAAGACATCTCAGTTCTGCATAATAAAAGAGGCGTAGCATAAAATCTAATTGCAGGGTCAAGTTTTACAGGTAGTGGCAATCAAGGCAGTAGTCTTATCACATACTTACTGGTTGTCCACGCCGACAAGCATGACACCGTGCCGAATGTAGGACGCTGTTCCTTGCGAATATATTATCCTCAAAGATACCTTGCCGCCTTTTAGGTTGACATGCGAGGAAAGATACGTAGGCTAATTTTGATTTCTCCTCAGGTATGACGTCGTATTTCAAAAGCTTGGAACATTGGAAGAGTCATAATCGGGTATGCGCAAAGAAAGGATTCGAAAAAATGTCACGATATTGGGGAAGAATTATGGAGGAAGCCATGTTGGCTGGGATATATTTTCACTTTTGAATTACTAGATATTTCGGCGACTATAACAGTAAAGGACTTAACTGAATGGACGGATGGCTTCCCGTAGAAATCTAAGTTTTCTCCTCAACGTAAACTTCTTGCTTGTATTCTTGGTAAGTAATTCAAAATAAAGTAGCTGTGGAACTGACGCTTTTGGGGATGCATACGTTACTGTCAAAAGTTCGAGGAAAATATCTTCATTGGAATATACACTTAATTTTCGCCTTCACATAACCTGGTAGTTTGCCATTTAAGTTCGTTATCGGAGGCGGTTGAATGGATAGATTCCTTCCTACACAACATGTTTTCCGTCAACCTAAACTTCATTCTATTTCCCCTGCGTATTAGTTCGAAATAAGGTAGCTACGCTACTAAGGATATTCCGATCAATAAGCTACTACCTCCGTGAACCTTGAAAAGGACCAAAAACTCTGAATGTTCAGCTCATTGTATTCAGTTTTCCAAGAGAAGAAGGATTCTGATAAACAAGAATGCTTGTCACCTGTCTACTCATAACATATATAGCGGTTACCATATGTTATTGACGGTGAAAAATCTGCCTAGATGTAGTCAACTCTCTTCTTATGAGTATCCTTACACTGTTGTTTGCTTTTTAGTGCATTGTTAAACGAGTAGTTAAGCGGCGTTTAATTTTGTTAATTAAAATTTTATCATAGCCAGTCACCAAACCAAACGATTATTAAATTTTAAACGGGAAGGATATTCTTATGAAGCTTCGACTACTAAAATGGCCGCTTTCTATATACCAATGGCAATAGCATAGGTCGGTATTTACTCAAGACGAGGCCTACCAAAGCGAACTAACTATGCATGATAGAACAAACGCACAAATGCGGAGTGCCAAAAGTCTTCTCAGTCAGGCTATATCTTCCAAAAAAGTTAATTTTTCTATCTTTTCTGGCTACTGACCAACTCGTTAGATTTAGACAATTGAGGCCACTTTTTAAAGTATCTTAATCGATTTAGCATGCACACTTTACCCCCTTTTAATCATACACATAAATTGATTATATAAAGCCTCCCGTAGTAGTTTTGTGTCAGTCATTTTGTATGAACCACAAGGGAATCACGCTCGGCTAAGTCTTACTCTAGAACAAAGTAAAAGTGGCAAATTTATTCTCCTTACCAAAATGGAATGACGGCCCGGTATTCGGATTTCGATCAGTTTTCGTCATTTTTAGTACCACGAAAATGATCCTTCGCTGTGATAACCTGCTTATTATAAGGTTAAGTTCGGTTTCATCGCATCGTCGTACTGCCTTAAAAATGAATACCCTATTATACTATTTACTTTTTATAGTGTCTATTGCATACGTCAAGCTGCAAGGGCATTAGCACAAATTATAAACCCAACAGAAGTAGTATAGTTCTCCATTTAATAATGTTCGTCACCCATCAAAGGAAGCGTACGATAATTTAATCCTTAGTTTAGATAGTAGACAAAATAGGCCTCTACCTCTAAGGCAGTATGCTACCTACGGTCCACATAGATACTCCGGCCAATTTTTGTGATCGTACCATTTACAATTACACCTAAGGCAACTGGTTCATCCACCTATTTGGGCTTTAATAGCAGTTGGGTTGATTGCGAGGAAGATGCACAATATAACTTTCGTTAGCCATAATGTTCAGAAGAAACGAATGACGCTAAAGGCTGCCTTAAAGTATTGTTTTTGACTATGTTAGTTAAAAAATAATTCATTTTCTTTTAATTATGCGTGACAGTTCTGAGTCGGGTCAAAAAACAAGATGCCTCAAAATTCTTGGGACAAATCAGCCTGTTTATCCGAAAATTTTTTCTCCATTTATATAATAACTAGTTATGTGTCAAGTATAAAACTTTTACAAATTTGTTGTCCGTAGCATGGGACTTGTCTTTATTTTAAACCAAAACATTATCGAAAGTACGGACAGACAAGTACTCATTTACCTCACATTTAATCAAACCGAGACTGAAGTTCTACATTCCAATAGTGCGTTGACAAAATGCCCCAGAAATTGAACAAGAGGCAGTATTTTAAGAAAAAGTAAATGATTATATAGAAGGCTAGTTGAAGACAAACAATTAATCATTAAGGTAAAGTGGTGTATGAATCCGTTCAGGGGACGGTCAAGAAGTAAGAACGTACACCTTGAGTTTTGGGTTATAAAAATCAAATAGGACTGTCCTGAATAGCCGCTAGCTGGGAAACGAACGTGTCAGCTAGAGTCTAGACACCAGTTGGCACCACCGTTACAGGAACTACGCCCTGATGGAGAACATAATCGCTTACACTGCCAAGAAAAGTCCTTTGAATTGCTCCCAGGCCGCGTGTGCCGATAATTATGAGATGTGCTCCCTGTTTTTCCGCCTGTTTAATTATTGCCTCTCCAACTTTATCGGCCGGTTGACTGAGGTACTCGAACTTCAATCCGGCGCCTTGCGCCTCGGCAGTATAATCGTTTTCCAACTTTTGAGCTGCTCGCACACGGACGGATAGAATGTTGCCCCATTCTTCTGTTGGAAGTGAGCTGGGATTTGAAATGCTGAAGGCGGGTAAGGAGGGCGGTTCGAGGACGTGTAAAAATGTTACAAAATCATCCGGACGGCGTGACCACTTCAGGTACCACCTAAAGGCAGACTTCGCATTATCAGAACCATCAACGGCAATTAGAACGGATCGAGCTCCTTGAGTCGCACCGTGCGATGTCATCACTCTTACAGAATACCTGTGTTCTGTGTTGGGTGTGTTGTTATGATTGTGTCCCAAACACTCTCATTGGTGGCCGTGTCTATTCTGTCTGACCAATCAGAGTGGAGTCGAAGCGCGCATAGGCTTCCTTTCCTTTGGCGAGGTCACAGAGCGATTCCGTGACATCTTGAATTTGATAGGCTAGTGACTAACCGACCCTTTTTATGGCAGACGGTTTGCGTTTTGCCCAGTTACTTGGCATAACGTAGTCATTTATTTGCTTGGTTTCAAGTTTTACACCAACCTAATGTTGACAAGTGGTAGATTTTCGTAAAGTACCAACTCTGAAAAGAAAAGCTACTACGGAAATGGCATGATTATAGAGTTTGTGATTTGTCTTTGGCTGGAAACATTTGATCGATTATTCGTCAGGCAACATGCCTATGGTACTTACCATGGTAAATAAAACATCCACAAACCTCAGAAGACTGGCTTTGAGTAATTCAATGAATAGATAATTTCTTTGCTTTCGTAACTGCCTTATAGGCGCTGCAGGTGTGGCCGTAGCTTTTGGGTTTGTGCATAAAGGCAGGAACGTAGTATTAGCAGCAAACATAGTCAAGCTGATAGTGTTGTCAGCTTGGGTGCGCATCTAGCAAAACGAGGATAAGTAGGCATTAAAAAAGGAGATAGGGGGATATCAAAGCGTGAATGATATACGCAGTGGCTACATCGCAAATTTAATACAAGTTTACGCACAAATATTACGAAGACACTTTTCAGTAGTCACCAGATTTAAAGCATTAGTCTGTGGTTATAAGCTCCAACGTACCAGGAGCCAGCAACTGACTCTCAAAATTCGCCTTAGTACAACCAGTATACCTTAACCCGGAAAATATATTTTAATTTGGATATTTTCTAATAAATGTATTCCAAATAGTATTTCAATTTAAAAACAGGCATTTACTGACGCTATCGGTTGCAGTTACACACGGAGTTTCAGTTTTTTGGTTTACCGATATTTTATGCTTAGTAAAACTTTGAACGTCATGGAGAAGGAAGGTGATAACCGGTTTGCTTTGGTACATTAATTGATACATCATTAAGCTGCAAAACAAACGATAAAGTCATTGTTAAAATGGGGCCATAATTCGGCAATAGGCTCTAATTGCAAACGGTTTATATTCCCCAATTTTATAAATGTTAACATGCAAAAGCTGCTGGCAGAGTTTAGCTCACATTCTAATCGGACAGGTCTGTGTTTAAATGTTGCTCTCATGCATATGTGTTTGTGCCCTGTATTAATTCTCCGTCTGCTTAAAAATCATGGTCTACTGTGTCCTAAGTTTGGTGGCAGAATTTTGAAGCTTAGGTATTGATCAGTGCATTGCTTCTAGCAACTTAGTTGCCAAAGTGTTCTAGTGGAAATTCCTACTTGAACCTGCCATTGCATGAGACTCTTTTATTTCTGCTTATTTATAACAGAAATTTACTTCTTTTCACAGTTTATCTTAGCTACTCGCCCCTTTTACGTGGCCTTATTAACCAAGTTAACCGGAAGCTGCCTGCATTCAAATGCTTTCAATTTCAACCTGCCTATACTATTTTTGGAAGACTGGACGGTCAGTTAATCAAACCTAATCCTTCCTTTCGAACAACATGGTGTATAGAAAAAAATCATGTAATGAGGTTTTATGAAAACAATTGAATGTGGGATTAGTAGCATTCTAGCGTTGTTTGGCATGCCTATCTATTTTAACTCAGATGTGACAGTTTTTGCTATTTGGTGAAATACAAGTGTCTTTTTTCACTCTCTCCACCAGAGTGCTATTATATGGTCGGCAGTTTTTGTATCGGGCCTTTGAAAAATCCAAAATGGCTGTACACAGCAGGTTAGCTAGTGGACTGAGTACAGCCGACTTTGTTTTCCTACCAACTTGCAACTGAATTGCAATTTGCACCCCGCTTTTGCTTTAGAAGCCAGAATTTGTAACGTGCAGTCCTGTCTGGGAACATGCAACAGCCTTTGATCTATTAGTACTGGTTCATTGTGTCTCAAGGTGTTCTAGTCATGGGTCGGTCTGCTTCGGGCAACTTTCGAGAATCCAAAAATAGCTTACATTTTTGCTGCTCTGAATTCTGAAAACAGTATCTAATCATAAAATGAGAAAATTACTAGGTTGATGCAAGGTTCAGCAGTACCTAAGCTTGAAGCTATTTTTACATGTTTTTGAAGTTTTATCCATATTTACGCGTTCTTTTAGGATGTGTTTCATACCTTTTTACTAAGTGTTCAGATTTAAACTTTTTCCATAATTTTCGGATTTTTTGAATAACAGTGAGTTTTGACTCCTGATTCGCTATTGCGGGAAACCGGCGCCTTCGACTAAGGAAGTTGTACAAGAGAGCTGTTATGCCGAAAGCGAAGGGGCCATCCAAAACAGAAGAATTTCTCGTTGGCACTAGCATTTTACTTCTGGTGACCTCAATTTGAAGGATCAGCCTTGTTCCGGTCAGCCATCAGAATTGGACAACGAGGAACCGCTATAGGTGTTAGGGCTAAGACGATTCACCCTAACACCTACAAGCTTCGAGGCCCGGTTCCTTAGGAGATAGAAGAGAAGTCTTGAGAAGGCAGAGTAGACGGAACATTATATTGTTTACAGAGAGGAAGGGGAAAGT